AAGTCACTGGAATTTCACAAGCACGTTCCAGTTGGAAGTGCTGGATAACATGTATTAATGGGTAGTTCTTCACAAAGAACTACTGTTGCCTCATCTGAATACACAATTTTGGTGCACAGGCTTCCTGTTTGCTTCCCATGTTGGCTCTGGCAAGACAAACACTTTCCATAAGAAGTGTGTTATTATTTTCTGCATCTCTAAATACTATACAAAAGCAGCTGTGTGGGTTGTAGAACTTGGACAAGTCTCTAGTAAGATCAGCGGTTTTCTCTATGAAGCACATACATGAGTTTTTCATGCCGGGGACTACTTCAAAGCCTCAAAATTCAAATCCAGAGCCTCAAAAAAACCCCAAAAAACAACCCACCAAGCCTTGGAGTGCCTTCCAATATATATATAGCTTCTGACCATTGCAAGATAAGCATTTTGGCAAGAAGCACATTTCCTCACTGAAATGAAACATTCACTGGGAAGTTCTCACTGAAATATTGCAATATCATGATCCTTAAAAGTCTGAGATTCTCTGCCAGGGTAATACTTGGGAAAGTTTAATATTAATATTACTTATTTATATTTAATAACAATAAAACCCAAATAAAGGTTTAGAGTTCTTACACACTCTAAGACACTTCCGAAGTGCAAAACCACTTAATTTGAGAGCTTGACTTGCTGTTTGCAGACATGGCTAGTAGATATAAGAAAAGAAATAACTACTAGAAATTAAAAATTCCTGAATTCTGGCTTCAATGTGCTATGGAAGTCACCAGAATAGCCCCTGGAGCTGTGACTACCCCAGCTAGACCAGCCCCTGCTCTGGGAACTGTTCTGGCAAACAGCAAGTGCTTCAAGCACTCAGACCATTAAACCATACAGCCAATATTGGGTGGGTAAATGCAGTTCTTGCAAACAGAAGTAATTGCATTTTTCCTTTTTAAACACAGTTTCCCCCTCTTATTAGTCAATCCCAGTAGCGCTTTGTTTGTATGGACTAGCTCCCTGTGTTTGCTTTCTCCGCTCCTGCTTTCCCACATTACTCATTCACCTTCTATTTAATAACAGATGAGGCTTTAAAGTATATCAACACTTACCACTTACAAAGGCACATATTAGAAGATTTTTACTACACAGATTAGAAAATTTCTTAGTACATTAGAAAAACATTCTAATATAGACAGTTTGTAGCACCTTTGCTGATCATTTTCATATAGAAATACTCAAATACGCAAATAAAAATATATGTATTTGTTTAGATATATACATAAATACATAACCGACTTCAGATGATAATCCTACTAAGAGCTGAAGTTGCTAGCACTTAGCCTGGTTTAAACTTTTTTACAAGGTAAAAATAAATATCTTTCTTCTCATGTTCTGTCTTCCCACACCATTACAATGTTAAAATATTTAGCATTACTGCATTCAGTGAAGCTTCTTTGCTTATCCTTCTATTTAATGTAGCCATAGGTAGATATTTTAGTGCCCCCAGCTGAATGGGTTATCAGCCCACCACTCTTGTCACTGGTGCCACGTGGATCGGTCCATGACTAATTTGCTTGATATGAAAATCAATTGTATTTGAGGTAACACAAAAGACATGTTCTCACAGCCTGTTCCTTGTCTTATCCACAGAAGAACATCCATCCATGTAATTGCTTCAATAAAAGCAGTACAAATTTCTGCAGAGTCCACTCCCACAGTTTATGATCTTTATTAACCTTTACCTTGCATATTTACACCACATGAACCATAACTGAACCCTCCTGCACCATGTAAAGTTGCCGTGGTTTCACCGAGCCGTGTTAGTTCAAGACAAGGTAATTGCTCCATTCTGTACCCAAACCATTGTACAACCAAGGTGGAATCACCTGCTGCTCTTTTAATTCACTCCTTGGCTTTGTTGCATTTTTTTCCCAGGTAATTTACGTCACTGTGCATGTATTGTGCCCTGTTTTTACCTTTTCTCCCTCAGCTTCATGAATTGCAATCCTGTTATTTAAACTGGAACTGATCCAGAAGCAGCACCACCACAAGGACAGCAGCACTGGGATGGAGCAGCAAAACATACAGAGAGGTGAAAATTCTTTAAGTAAGTAATCAGTGGAGAAAGGTCGTCTGCTTTGCAGAATAAAGCGTTTAAGCAGCAAAGCTTTGCCATACAATGCAACAGTCAAATACCTCGACACAAGTTCACTTATTTTCATATACTTTATATATTTAATATATTTTAACATACTTATACGTAAAATGTATAAATATATGAAATCTAGTGAGAGAGAGGGGGACTAGCAAGCAGCTTTCCACCTGAGAGGAGGAGACTCGCCCCCCGCCCACAAAATGGCGGCCGCTCCCGCCCCGCCTGTGGGGAGACGGTGCCGCCCTTTCCCGCCCACAAAATGGCGGCGGGCGGGCTTTTCCCGCTACACAGCGGGGTCCGCTTCCTCCCATTCCTCGGTACACCCGATCTCTGAGCCGACACAGCCCAGGGGAGCGGGCAAGCCGGTGTGGTTGCCCGCGATGGAACTGGGTCGGCTGGAGTACCTGCAGGCGCTTGTCACCGAGTTCCAGGTGACGGACAGCACAGGTAACTAACGTCGCTATTCGCTCGCCCCCTCTTTTCGAGCTTTTCCTCACACACCCGACCCTTTTCACTTGCAGAGGCCAAGGAGCAGGTGCTGGCGAACCTGGCCAACTTCGCCTACGATCCCAGTAACTACGAGTATCTGCGGCAGCTCCAGGTGCTGGACCTGTTCCTCGATATGCTCACCGAGGACAACGAGAGCCTCGTGGAGTTTGCCATGGGTAAGGGCTACCCCGAGGCCCTGCAGCTGTTACCTGGGCACGGGACACCGGGCCCCGCGCTCGGTTTGCTCTTTAATCGGCCCCAAATTCACGCAGGGCTCTAAAAACAAACCCACACTGTGCTGATAAAGACTCGTTTAGTGTACAATGGGAGAGAAGTCACAGGCATGACCCTCCATGTCCTTACAGAGCATAATGAAGACACCATCTGGAAAGGATTTGTTTGGATTTTTTTCCCAAACACTACCTGATTAACTTTTTACTGAAATCTCTTCTGTAGAGAAACAGTCAGGTTTTGCCAGATACATTGTACAGATCCATTCTGCCATTGGCAACTGGTCTTCTAGAATACTTACTAGACATTTTTTAATAAATCTTTTAAGGAACTGCCTTACCACAATTTTTCATGGTTTGAACATAAGCTAAGGGGCCAGATGCTGTGAGTGGTTCTGTAAGATGATATTAATTTGATTTTTAAGGTTTGTTGCTGCATCTTAAAGTTTCAAACATTCTGTGCTTCTTGGCTACTAACTTCTATTCTCTGGATTTCTATAGCACCTGCAATAAACTGCTGGTTTGTGTCTTCCATGAGGGATGAGTGAGCATTCCTGGAATCATTCTGTGGAAGCAGCTATGTGCAGCAGTAACAGTGCCCTCTAATGACACACAGGATAAGGAGTGTGCTGATGGAAAATCATTGGAAACAATCAAAAACACATGACCTAGGGAACCATTAAGAATTTTCCATCCATACAGAAGATCTGGATGTTATAAAATGGGATGAGCGGTGAATTACCATCACCTCAGACACTTTTCTCTTACCGTTCCAGGTGGTCTTTGCAACCTGTGCTTGGATAAAACAAACAAAGAGTACATCCTAGAGGCCAATGGGGTGGAGCCCATCATCAACTGCCTGTCCAGTTCCAACGAGGAGACCGTGGTGTCGGCCGTGACCACACTGATGTTCCTGACGACGACGCAGTCACGCGCGCAGACCACGGCGCTGCCCGTGGTGGAGTGCATGCTCCGCTTCTCCCTCTCAGCCAACACACGTCTCAGTAACCTGGCATCCATTTTCCTGCAGGATTACTGCAGCCCTCTGCAGGTGGAGGAGGCCAGGAACCTCAGCAAGCACACAGCAGTGGGGATTCCTCTGCCCAAGGACTGAGTAGGGTTGCAAAGACGGGAACCTCCTGCTGCTCTCGCTTTCTGCTCAGCAGGTCAAGAGCAGCATTAAAGATGGAAGTTTGTCCCACCAGTGCTGGTGTTTAGTTAACAAACAGGATGGAACAGCACTAACATGGCAGCCGGGCCAAGCACACAGCTAAGCCTGCAAGCAAATATTTAAAATAAAGCAGGTCATGGCTGAACATTGGAATGTATTTTGCCAAGTGCAGCTCAGCACCCAGCTTGCACAAATAACCCTTCACAGCAATGAGGAGTGTTCTGCTCAGGTTATTGGGCAGAATTATATCCACTCAGGTTCCTGGCTAGTTGTGCTGCACCTCTCCCATTCAGTGTCCATGACAAGTGATGCTAAGTGTCAAGTCACTGAAATGTCACAGAAATTTATTCTTCCTGTAGAGAAAGGAATTTCCCTGCTCTAACAGTTCACAATCTCCATCCTTGTGGCACTAGTTATGCCATCATAACTATGTTACGTTTTAGCTATGGCATCATAACATGCCCTAATCATGGCACATCTAGGGAATCTCTGCATAGGGCAGGCTGCAAGCTACTGTATAAATGAGGAAGTGGCAAGTTTGTCTTTCATTACCACAGGTGAGAAAGGTGAAGTAAAAAAAAAAAAAGGTGGGGAGCTCATGGCAGTCTGGCTCATGAGAACAGCTGTCTTGTAAAAGTTTCTGTTAATAAAACATTAACTTAAATGCTGTGTCATCAGTTCTGTGAAAGCTCATGAATATTTTCCTCCAGCACTTGCAGCCTTTGCCCACTCAAGCACATGGGCCAAGAAATTGAAGCCAGCCTAGTCTCTTTTGGCCTCATTGTCAGCCATGAGGCAAGAGAAAACCCAATAACCAGGATGGCTAAATAGATAAAATTTAAAAGGTTTGACTGTTGAGCCCAGTGCTTTCTGGCATACATCCACACAGGATCTGCAATTGTTTGAGAGCCTTTTTATTTTTTCCCCCTCTGTCCTCAGACAGCACAAACCAAACTGGAGTGAGGTTAAACACACACACAAAAACCCAACCACAGCTGCTTGTAGTTGATTGTTTCTTTTCTCTTAACAGCAAACATCCAAAATGCTACAGGGATAACTGAGTGCAGAGCAACCTTCCAGAAACCCAGAGCACTGAGGAGCAGCTCATTTCTTACTGTGGCTGATCCCTGCAGTGACAGTGCCTCCTGGGCATGGCAGGGGATAGGCTGGTTGTTCCCTGGCCGTGGGAAGAGTGCAACATCCCCTTCCTGCACTACTGCCTGCGCTTGCTTTCCAGGATGGCCTTCCAGTTGTCAGCCCAGGAGTGCAGGCGCCGGCGCGGGGCCGGCAGCTGGACGTGCCTGTTGTGGCAGCAGGTGAACAGGATGTGCTCCCATCTCGGGTTCAGCTCTGCACCTGTGGGAAGGGGGGAAAAGCTGGAATCAGCTGGGGGGTGGCTCCCCAGCCAGCAGCCAGCCATGGAAATGCTGTTCAAACCTTGGATAGTGTCCTTGTCATCAAACAGCAAGTCAGCAGCCACCACAGTCTTGTCTCGGGTCAGAATAATCCGCTCCACAAACTCCGGTCCCAAGTGTTTCTCTACCCACTTATACTGCAGAGACAAGGAATAGCTGAAAATCCCGCTGTGCTCTCAGTTTGCAGCTCGCTCATGTCAGACCAGCCCTAACAGAGCAATTTCTTGCCCCTGTAAACCTTCATCTGTGTCTAGGAATCCCCACATGGAGACTGGCTGCGGCCCAGGATGCTGATTAAACCTGTTTGTGTGATAGCCTTCACTCAGCACCGCCCTGGCTGTGCCCAACTATTGAGCTTGTGAGAAGCACTGGCTGCTTGCCCAAAGCACGTGGGTTGTACCCATCTAAGTCATTCCAGTGACCAAAGTCCCCCCTCCATTCTTGTGCCCCTACAGCCTCCTCAACACAGCACCGACCTCTTTTGGGACATCAGGTTCCAGATTTAGACTGAAGTAGGTTTTGTTGGTTGGTGATTCTCTAGAGTGGAATCCCCTGGGAATAGCCCATCCCTGTTGGGGGAACTACAACAGTTTCTTTGCCATGACCTGCTGACACAGCTGGTCCCAGCCCAGCTCCAAGAGCCCAAGGCTCACGTGCTCCACAGTAATTCTGACACCATGTGGCACTTGGAGATTCCCTGTCCCGAGTTACTGCTCTGTGTGTGGGAAAGTATTCCTCAGATAGGGGTTGAGGGAAGCCTGGCAGCTGGAGCAGCTACTGTCTTCAGAAAGGAGTAGCTCCAACTTGGGTAGTATGAAACACCAAGGCCTTGCAAAAGCAGCATTAAATTAAACAAAAACAATTATCTCCCACCTTTTCCACAATGCAGTGCTCGTATTTCCGGAGAGGGCTCATGCAAAGGAAGACTTCAGTGCTGAAAAGAAACAGCCTTTGTTAGCAGTCAGGAGAAAGTATGTTACATCCTGGAAAAGGGCAGCAGGGTGAAAAGTCTCCTTACTCCTGCATGTGGAGCATCTCCTGCATAGCTTCCAGGGCTCCTGGAATTGGATCCAAGTCTAGGAAGAAGCCAGGCGACTCATAGACACTGGCTACCTTGGCCTGCAGGAGACAGAGGACGATAAGCAGTGGCTGTGCTCCATCACAGCAGTCTCCAGTCACCCTCTGTGCAACAGCCTGGTGCTTCCCCACAGGAGTGAATTATAAAATTTCTCACCTTTGGGTTCTGGGAAAAGTCCAGCTTGGGCACACAGAAGAAGTCACATTCTCATGGCTTGTGAGGAAGCAGAGCTGCCCCTGGCCTGGCTTTGCTCCCACCATCAGCCCTGACCCACTGGAGTCTCTGGGGGGGCTGAGGGAGACAGACCTCCCACCCCACACCCTCCCAGCAGGTTTCTTCCAGCTGACTCTGGTGGGAACCAAAGGAACAAGTTGGAAGCTTCTTCTCCCCTCTCACATTTGGCTGAGATTAGCTGAGGGCTCAGGAATTCACCAGGAATGGGTGGGCAGACACAGGCACTGCTCATCAGCCCCTTTTCCTTCAGAGCAAACAGGGTACAGAGGTGACCATGCCAATGGCCAGGCCAGCACAGCCACACCTGGGGGGAATCCCTTCAGCAAGAGGAAGGATGAGGATGAGTGTGCTGGGAAAGCTCCATGACTTTGCTGCTTTTTGATTTTCAATCACCCACATACAATATTGTTGAAGGAACAGGCAGCCTTGGCTCCAGCCTGGATGGAGCTGTTCCTCTGAGGTAATGGGCTGGTGCAAAGTCTGCTCCAAAGAGTCTGAGACTGCAGCAGGAAGTCCAGAGGTGATCCCTGTGCTTCCCCAAGAACTTTCGGATCTGTAAGGTGACCTGTGCACCCCATGAGCCCTATCTGGGCTGGGTTTGAGGGTGCTGTGGGACACTGCTCCCCTCACCTGGCTCAGCACTGGGCTGAGCTCTGCAATTAAGGGCTTTTATCTCTTTTGTGTCTGCACCTGCTCTAGGTGTAAACCCACTTCCCACCTACTGGTGAAACCTGTACTTCCATACAGACAGGTGGGATGCCACATGAACCAGAGAGGAAATTAATGATAAACAAGTGGTGAAGGAGGTTAGCTCTAAAGGTAGAATAATTTTTAAGTGAGTGGAAGGAAACAAGATTACTGGTGGAACAATGTTATTCCAGGCTAATGTAGCCAAAAATGGGACAAGAAGGTATTTCATATGATACAGTACAGTAGCATCTTTAATCTCTGGAAGGAAGAGCAATATTTCCAGGGCCATTTCCAGGTAGAAAGTCCACACTGTCCTTCCTGTCGTTTTTCTTCTTAATTTACTGGTGAGACATTTTCACGCCTTTTACTATTAGGAAATTTACTGGCTTGAATCCAGCTCTGGTTAGTTAATTTTAAGAATTGCTCCCTGGTGACTGTTCAGTGGCCTGTGTTAAATGAGTGTTTCACAGCAGGTCACAGCTGATGGGTTTTCCCCTTTATTCCACATCCCATCACAGCGAAGGACCCACAGCAGCACTGAGGGCTGAGGCCCCTTCCAGGCCTAAGTTTCACCTTCAGACAGAAAGGTTATGCTTCCAATATCTCTCTACCTTGAGACACAAAAATCTTAACTTCCTTGGGGTCACATAGTGAACTTTAAAGGTGCCAAAGCAGCATTTTTCCACAAGCATTGAAGTCATACATTCCCATGTCACTGAACTATTTGGAAAATTTAATTCTTGTTTAGTATTCTTTAAAGGCAGGCTTCAGGCTTTGCTTAGGCGAGTCCAGCTGAAGGTCTCCTTGTTCTATATCACAGTGGAACATCAACAAAAACCCATTTCAATTAAGCAGCAGTGAGGAAGAGTCAACATTAAACCAGACTCCCAGATCCTGAAGCTCACTCAGTTATCAGCACCTATAAATACTCATAAATCAACAGTCAGAAAGTTGGAAGCACTGCCTGATTTCACATGCAGATCAGAAGTGGTTAAGGAGCCTGTCTAGGTTCAGATGTGGCAATCAGATCTGTCCGGATCTCTGTTTCCATGCAAAGCCTCCCTGATCCCAGCAACAATTCCCTGGAGCTCTTCCCAAGGAGATTGAATTACAGACCTGGTGCTTGTGTCTGAAAGCACTTTTATCCTACAGCAAGACAGCAGAAACTGGCAAGTTTCCACCACGACACAAAAAAGTCTGGCTTTTTTGGAGAAAGAAATTTGATTTGATGACTGTTGGAACCAAAAGCCATTTCCTCTCATTAAAAAAGTGACTAGAAAAAGAAAGTAAAACCATTTTCTTTCCTCATTTTCATGCCACCAATGCTGAACGTTTCCTTTTAACTCCCATTAGTAAGATAACAATTTGGATACAAAAGTGGAGGGACTACATCTGTCCTTATGCTTTCCCATTTGCAGGACTTGAAAGTAATTCTAGAAATTTTTACCATCGGTGGGGATGTTGAATCCCTTTCTTTAAACTGCCTGGGGCCAGGAAACATAGGGAGATATCTCCACCAACACAATGGCCACACACACAAGAGGGCAGGTAGGCAAGTGCAGTGAAAAAATCTTCAACAAAATAAAATGGATTAGAAGTCCTTCTAAATAAAATGGATTTACAGTGTGAAATTAATGATCAACTTGCAATCAAAACAGAAACAAAAATGAAGTAATGGCTCAAGTTTCAAGGGGCAGCTGCTCAGCACCAACGAAGCATGAACACCATCCAGGAAGAGGTCATGCATAAATCATTACCACAGCATTTCCCAGGCCATGTCACAAAAATATCCCCCACCCTGGAAGTTCATGGATAGACACAGCTGACACCGGCCACAAAGAGCCTGGTGTCCAGCTGACCCCCTGGGGTCCAGCTGACCCTCTCCTTTCAGTACTGACAAAGTGCAGACTCGGTTTCCCTGCATGGACACACGGCCCCACAAACTGCCCTGGGTGGGCTGCCTGTTCCTGCCAAAGCTTTTCCTGCAGCTGGAACCAGTGACTTTCCACAGGGATCCTCCTGTCCCACAGACACTCTATAGAGCCACAGCAGAACAAACAAGGGCTCTGTTTTTAAACTAATGTATGGCATTTACATAAAACCCAAAGGAGCCTCAAATATTTATAACTTTATTGTTCTGCCAAACACACCTAAACCAACCCAAAGCTCCAGAGATTACTGAAGGAGACAGACATAGCACAAGCTCCATAAAGCTAATTTCCTTAGGAAGTCAGGCTAGAACAGAAAGATAAGAGCTTTCTGCCACTGCTGGTGTGCGTGGGATCCAAACCAGTTATCTGGTTATTTCATTGCCACACCTAAGGTCTGGGGAGGAACAGGATGAGCATGAACCAAATTAGGGAATAAGGATTCCAGAAACAGAAAAAACAGATCAGATTGCAGACCTTCCAAAAAAGAAAAAAATAAAATAATGACCCCTTGACTTACATGCAAATTATTTTATTTTTTTTTTGTTCATGGGATCCGTTTCAGGAATACTCATTTAAACAAAAAATAATGTTTATTTATGCAAAGTAATAGCCAAATTTCTGTCTACTGACTATATTTATGGGTTTCTGCTTCCAGGAACTTTTCACCATCAATAGTCATCAACCACAACTCCGGCAGTTTGGAGCCTATGGAAATGCTGACTGAATCCACCACTCCTGCCCCTTATTCTGATGCAGGAGCCTTTACTTCACTATGGAACAGGAGTGACATGACTGTGAATTGTCATTTCTTAGCAGTAAAAAACCCTGGGCCCAGTACAGGATCTTAAAATGTGCGATTAACTTCTCAGGGAAAGTGTTCAGCACAGCCTGGATCAGTAGTTTCCTTAGAGAGTCCTCAACTGTCCTGTGGCGACCAGAAGGAACAGTGAAGTCTAGATTTACAGTATTTCTAATTTTGTGTTTCATTCAGCCTTAATTTGTACACTGACAATCAGTGACTTCTTCCAGGATAACCAGTCCTTTACAGTGTTTGAATTCTTCCACCAAGCCATTCACTGAACCATCTTCTTTACCTATTCATGTTCTTGCTCTTGCTTTGCAGCAGAATTATAACCTCCTCAAAGCTCCCTGAGAACTCTGCATGTGCTCACATGGTTCCACAGCAGGACAAGAACTGTGCGTGTTCTATCTGGGTTTGTAGAGAATGAAATCCTGTATCCGTATTCCCTCTGCATGCCCTGACAAGCCATGGGTACAGCAGGTAAGAGATCAGGAACAGTAGGAGAAAGCTGATGGAACACCCTCCATCCATGCAAACTGCTGCCATTTTTAATGTTTGCTAATGGCTGAATAAGTAAGAGAGGTTTGCAAGGCAAAATTACAAACACTGTAAATCCAGACTTCACATCCTTCTGGTCACCACAGGACAGTCAAGGACTCTGTAAGGAAGTGGAACAGATACTGATCCAGGCTGTGCTGAACCCCTTCCCTGAGAAGTTTATTGCTCATTTTAAGATCATGTACTGAGCCTAGGAGTTTTTTACTGCTAAGAAATGACAATTTCATTTCCTTCCTGTTATATAGAGAAGTACAGGCTCCTACCAGTCTGATAGACTGGAGTATGAATCCAGTCAGCATTTCCACAGGCTCCAAACTGCCAGAGAGCGCTGATCGATGACTGTTGATGGCCAAAAGTTCCTGGAAGTAAGACTCTGTAAATACAGCGAGTAGGCATGAATTTGGTTATTATCTTACATAAACAAACATGATTTATTGTTTAAGTAAATATTCCTTAAATCCCATCTAGGTATAGAAGGACAAAAAAAGCTGCAGGTAATTTAAGGGTTTTTTAAAAAACACTGGTCCCAGGCTAAGCTTTGCAGAGCCCGGCGGACAGGGAGAGATTTCCCAGCGGGGTGGGGAGGGTGTGTTGTCCCCGCAGCCGCACTCACCGCCAGGTCCTCCCGCAGGCTGCGGTACTGCTCCCGCACCGAGAACCCCCTGCGCTCCTCCAGCTCCACGCGCGGCTCCGCCGGGAAGCGGGAGCGGAATTCCCGCAGCACCGCGCCCTCGAAATCGGCCAGGACCCCGTCCATGTCCACCAGCACCCGCAGCGGCGCGGCCGCGCTCCCCATCCCGATCCCGAGCCCGGCGGAGCCGCTCCCGGCACACGCGAGCGCAGCGCCCCCGGCTCCGCACCCGCCAGAGCGCTCATGCATATGTATGAGCTACATGAATATTCATGAGGGGGCGGGGCGCCCCAGCGGGAACACGGCTGGGCTCCAGCAGGAACAGAGAAAAAACCCCCAAGGCAGCCCCCCACCACCCCTCGGAACCCCGGGATGCGGCTGCCAGGTCCCCGCCCCGACAAGAGAGAAGCACAGTGGAGCCTCAGCAGCCATCGAGTTCTGCTGGGGGCATGGGGTTTGCAAAGGAAATATTAATTTATGGGTTATTCCCCATGCTCTCAGTGCAGGGCACGGTGCACATCAGGTACGGGGAAGCCCCCCGGATGAAGGAGGAGCGTGTCAGAGCAAATCCAGTTCGGTAGGTTCAGCACCCCAGGGCAGGGCTTCTCCAGCAGTGATCTGGAAAGCCAGGGTGCTTTCAGGCACCGGTTCTTCCAGGAAAAGGGTGGAAAAGGCACCAGCAGACACAGCAGCTCCATTGAGATCTCTGCTGTGGCTTATTGGGCAGCAGAGCCCTTCCAGGGCAGCAGAGAACTTCATGGTTTGGTCTCAATTCCACCCTCTCCCTTTTTAGGGTCTTCCTTTTTTATTCTTTTTAATGAGGAAAATATACTTTTCTCAGTTTTCTTGAGAAAAAACGGTATTTTGGATTAAACTGATTGTATATATCAAGCCCTATTCCACAGTTCTCTGATTTAGAAGACAAAAATGAAGAGATTAGTCAGATTCTCTCTTCAGGGGAAGATAGCACATATTGGTGAGACCCCAAGCCAGGTGTAGGAACTCTCCTCTGTTAGAGCAGGGCAGATTGGCTGAGACAAGGACAACTGAGAACAAAGCAAAACCAAAGCCATAAAATAAAACCCACACAGGAAACACTGCTTCAAAATTTCTATATTATTTACTTTTAAGCAACAATCCAGCCTTGTGAAATTACAACAACACACTTTAAAGGATGAGATTTTCACCTCATGGTCAAGCACCAGCATGATCATGCACAGCATTGAGTCAGTTGTAAAAAAAAATGCCCTGTAATTCTTATTTATATGATCCACTCCACCTTTACTGAATAAAGTCTGAATCAGCCCCTTCCCAGCACTAGGCCAGGTGGCTCTGGTCATCAGCACTCTATTTGGCACAGACCCTGTGTCATAGTAGTCCAGTATCAAGATTTATTTTGTTTTTAAAGGCAGCATGGTGTACATTAACCACTTAATGATTTATATGGCACAGCAGGGCTCAAGGCATTTACCACATGCAGTCAATGAAGCCTTTTAGATCCCTAAATCCCACATGTGGAGGAAGAGACTGCTCTTGCTGATTGTTTGCTGGCCTGGTTAACCAGGATTCTAAACCCTTGTAAAGCTAAGGGGTTCTAAAAAAAAAAAATCTCAGTACAAAAACCCTCTAAGCACACTTAGAACCAAGCTACTCTCCTTTGAATTACATTACAATACTTCATAAAGCTTTCCCTCAAGTCTATCACTAGAAAACACTCATGTCACTTCCAGCAGATCTGGGGGAAACACAGGACAGAAGAGGAAAAAAAAACCCTTGATTTCAAAAAAAGATGGAGTACATAAAGTGCTTCTTTTTAATGAAAGAAATTTGAGATGTACAGTCAGGCTCAAGTTGTGCAGATCACAAGCATGGGGAAAAGAAAACAGACACGAGTTCAAAACAGTCAGGAAGGGAAAGGTTTAACCGAGCACTAGGCTGGACTTGCCACCGGGTGGATTTCTCCTGGAGGGTGCAGGTGCTGGTGCTACTGGGCTAGGAACAGGTGCAGCAGGCAGGGACTTTTCTTCACTCTGACCTGGGGCAGCTTCTACATCAGCCTCAGTGTTTTCTAGAAGAAAAGAAGCTTTTAAAGTGTTTGATGTGGATGACGGGAGCCAGATGTTTGGCTGGCTCAGACGGAAGCTCAGATCCTGTCAGTTTTGTCCAGGGGTACAGACACGCTCCAATGCTGTCACCCACTGGCAGGGCAGACTCAGCCTTCAGAAGTGTTTCTCAGACCAAATCTGAGGCCTTACAGCTCAGTCTCAGGCCTTCAACAAGAGCCACATTCACTCAGCTGCTATTAGGGGACACCAGTAATTATTTTTTTTTAATGACAAGCAGCTTAAGGCTCAAGTCTTCTACATATAATCAGTCAGTATTGTGACTCTGGCATTGTCACTCAGGTCTGAGCAGGTGCTGGGAGTCACACCAGCATCAACAAGAGCTCAAACTGCATCCCCAGTCTCCTAAGTGGAGGGGAAAGGATCTGACACACTTCTGAGGCTTCACACAGGACACATCAGGGAACAGACATGCATGGGGAGGCTCTGATTGTACACTCCCTGGAGAGCACGTGATAGTTTATTTTAAATCCTTCTGAGCAACCACAAGTGAAGACAGGGCACAGGAGGAATTCTTCACAGGAAGCACTTTAGATACTGGAGCAAACAACTAATAAAATCTGCATTGCTGACAATTGATGCAAGTACATTAGCATCTCACATTTTTACAGAGTAGCATGACCAGTTCTGAGCCAAAGGCACAAATCAGCACCAAGTACCCCCTGATATTGGGGGTGAAGATGAACCTCACCTGTTTTCAACAGACCCCTTTGTTTCCTCTCATGATCACTAATTCTGGGAGAATTCGGAGAACTGCTGCACATACAGCTTAAGCTTTATGATTTAGTAGATCTTGATCAAATTCCCTCCCCCAGCCTTCTCTTCAAACTGAACAGGCACAACTATTCTAATCCCCCCTCACAAAGCAGCCATTGCACCCCTTCATCTTCCCTTTCACCTTCCCTGTCACCTCCACTACAACCCCGTGGCTCTTCATGTGTCAAGGACTGTACACAATTCAAGACATGAGGGTATTACCATTGTTTACAGAAAAAAGGATGTAATTTTCCATCCTCTCCCTGATGACATTCAGTATTTTGCTGGCACGTCCAAACACCTCAAAGAATTTCAAGGGGAAGGGCTTGAGGCAGATCCTGGGAGCACCACAGCATAGAGCTGAACACAAGGCTGCCATGGTTTCATTTTTGGGATTTTTCTTCCCCCCTAGATTCATTACTTTACACTTCCTTACACAGGGATTATCCTGCCTTTATACCTGCGTGCCTCATTTAGCTGAGTCTTTCTGGCACTGAGATTTTCCCACCATCAGCACAATTTGACTACTTGAAAGAGGTAATATCACCAACAAAACTGGAGACTTCATTGTTCATTACCTTTTCCAGGTCACAGACGAAGGCACTGAATAAAACCACCTCCAGCATCACCTCCCATAGCTCATTTTTCCAATCTGGAAGGTAATTACTAAGTCCTACCCTTTGCCTCCTATTCTTCCTACCCCCAAGCAGCAGCTTTCTTCACATCCTGTGTCAACTCAGTGTATTTTTTCAATGCAAAATGTTATCAGAAACACCAAAACCCAACTTGTGTCCACTGAACCACCCCCACTACATCCACATTTTTAATGTCAAAGAACTCCAGCATCTGAGCACAGTGTCCCTGCAATCAGGAATAATCTCCAGTACAGATTCTCTGCTGTGCTCATTAACCCAGCACAGCTGAAACAAACAGTTAACACCATATTTTAAGTGTGAAGCTCCTGTAGCTGCTGTGTCCCAGTGTCTGCTGACTCAGCAAGTGCTGAATGTCCCTGCCTGGGGACAGTCCCAGCACCGTGCAGGATCCAGGCCCCACCTTCCTGTGGGGGTCATGTACAGTCAGGCACTGACTAATTCTCCTTAGCTGCCCACATTCATTCAGCTCACACCGCCCCTGAATCACAAAAGAAACAAGCATTACCAGCACAGGAGGCTTTGGGGGAAGTTTCCTTGTGTAGCTGATACACGTTAGCACTTCCCACATAACCAAGGTAAGTTTGCCAACCTAATGAGTGACACGGTAAAAACAGATAAAATATTAAAGCTCTTCCCTTCTCAGAAAGGGTCTAATCCCTGAAACAGCTCCCTGCTGAATGCACTGCAAGCCACGGGGAACGCTCATGCCCAGAAAAGAACTACAGTTCCCAAAGAGCCCTGCTGCAAAAGAAATTTTTTTTTTTTTTTTACATTAGACAGGCTTGATTACTAAATATACACATCCCACCTGACACATACTTGGGGTTTTATAATCAGTTACATATAGAAAATAATTTCCACGTTCAAAAGGATAAACATTTCTTAATGACAGAAACCTATTCAGAATCAGGTTATACTGTGAACCTGTCATTAGACAGCTTTTTGCTTGGAGGTATGTTCATTGTTCCTTTCCAAATCCCAGAGACAGCCCTACAAGGCCAGTACAAAGTCACAGGAGTGCCAGTGGGATGTTCAGCAGTCCAAATCTGCCATCCCACAGCAGGAAAATCCAGGGGAGGAGTGACAACCAGATCAGTGAGACTGGACTCCACTGAGCTCCAACACCCAAAGCAGTCAATGGTAGGAAATCATTTAACAATCCATCAAGATGTTCAGGTATCTGCCACAGACACCATTTCCAGGAGGCATTAATTTCTATTCCTTCCTAAGTCCTATCAGTGAAAGTTTAACATTCCAACCTTTGCCTGACATTTTTATTTCATCTTGGCCACTTCAAAAATTTATTTTTTAGTCATGGCCACAACAGGAAACAAATCCCAGTTACCTTCCCTAACACTTGTTTTTTAACCACCTCCCAGCATAGATTCACCTGACCCTTGGCAAGAACTTCCTTCACTGTCACTTGCCAAAAACAACCTAAAAGACAAATACAACACCTGTGATAATGTGAACTTTTTTAAAAAAGTCAGGAATACCACTTTGCACTCCAAATTTCAACCAGCTGTCCTGATCCCAGGCTGCCCTATTTCTGCTTCCTGGCATCTCAACCCTTCTCACCTCCCCGCTGTTTGTGGGATCTCCTCTGCCCTGTGGGGAGCTGGTTTAAACAAGCACCAGGAAAAGCAGCAGAGCCCTTAGTGCAGTTTTCTT